GCTTTGGGAAAAAGTTCAAGGAGCTTAACTGGATCTGAGGCTTTAAAACCTTAATAATCTGGATTGGAAACCTGCTCCAAATATTCACCTTCCTCTCTCAGTGATCAATAACATTTTGAACCGATACCACACTGGAAGCCAAACAGCAGTTGGACAATGTCTCTTCTGGTAATAACAGCAGCGTCACCCATTCAAACACTACAACACACAAACACACAGAGCTGTTCTTTCCAAGGAAGCAGGAGGGACAATGCGTGCGGCCTGCTCGGCACTCCGCCCGTTTTCAGTGCTAATAAGGAAAATTTACTGCACTTAAATGTGTCAAAGACATTATTTCTACATTTATTGCTAACATTAAATACAGAAACCCAAGGCCACCAGCATCATTTCTAACAGTCATAAGCACAGGTTTCTGCAGCATATTCACTTTGTTTTCCTACAATATCTGCACATGACAAGTAAAACACAGCACAAGGCCGGTTTGTCAGGTTGTTGATTTCAAGGACGTAAAAAACTAGAAGACTGACATGTTGTTGCATCATTTGTGGACCTGTTAGACTGAACACAAGCCTGAAAAACTAAAGGTTTTGATCCTGCTGTGCAACTTTACACAGGATGTAATGAACATATACACACAAACTAACAAGGTTCACTGTGGGTTAACACTGGGCACGTCTGAGCTGCCACATGGCATCTGACTGTCCCCTTGCTGAGTTCTGTGACCCTGCTGATAAATATGGAAACTGAAGCTAAATACAGATACTGTAACTTCCAGGACAAACTCCACAACTCGGCTTCTAATCTCACACGCTGGCAGCTCCACCGCAACATAAGACACAACATTGGCCACATTGTACTTTAATTACTGTATATACCAAACAGTACTGTCTGTGTACCATGTTTCAATTCTTTCATTAACAGGTTGGTCGCTCTGCAGACCCAAGGACGAGCATGTCCAGGCACCGTAAGTGTTTTACCACATATCACAGATGCCAAAATTGAATTTAAGTATCTGCTCACAGCCACAGTGTCATGTTCACATTCCTGAATGATGGATTTGATCAGTGGAACTAAACAGATCAGCTCCTTTATGACAGAAAAATATATTTACCTGAAACAATCTGCTTGAATTCTCCGTTTGTTTTGAGTGCAAACAGATCAAAATTTAAGCTTGTGGGTTTACTAGAAAACATGCCAACACTGAGCTCTTCAGTGATGCACAGACCTGAACTTTGTGGAACATTTGTTTTACCACTGCATATCACTCTTGATTTTTAGCTGTTATTTTACAATCTCCATCTTTTCTTCTCTTTCTTTGTGTTTACCAACTCATACATCTGTCACCACGGCAACAGGTCACAGCATCACGGACTGATCACAGTGACCATTGATGGTGAAGTGTAATCGCACGTAAACAAACAGCTCTGTAATTATTCGCTCTGTTACACTGCAGAGTGAGTCACCACATGTTCAGGAATGGGATGGCTGCCTTTTATAGCTGGCCTTCACACACACACACACACACACTCACACCAAAAGCCTGACCAGTATAGCCCCATTTTAGTTTATGACACATTTATCAGCATGGCCAAAAGTATGCAGACAACTGAGCAGCCTCCACTCCTCTACGTAGTTTCAGGCCCTCCACCTTATGTTGAACCAGTTTGTCTCAAAGGTGCTGGATGGACTTAGGGCCATGACTCTGTTCAGACAGTCAAGTTCCTCCAAATCAAACAGCCCAGTTTCGTCCCAAAGCACCGGGTTACGATATGTTCCTTCCAGTTTGGCCTGATCAGAAGCTTCTCCATAAACGTCCACCACATGTGAAACGTCCCGGTCTCCCCACTGACCCCGTCGCTCTCCTCCATGTTTACTGTTACTGGTCTGTGAGGGGCCGACTCTGAATGATAACGACAGGCCGCATGTGCAAAGGAGGAGACATTAAAACGACCACATGGATTCTGATATGACCGTTCTGATGGCGCTCACACATTCATAGGTTGGAGAGGAATCGGGTCTAAGAGCACATATGCAGGTGGCCCAGATGTGGTCTGAGAACATCTGGTTGGTTCACACTGCTGTGGACACACCAGGTCTGAGGCACTGAGAGGGAAAACATGATAATAAGTTTTGGGCCACTTCAGCAGGTAATGTGAACGTAACTAAATGGATGTGAAGAAGAATGTCAACATACATTTGGCCATAAACTGTGTGTCACATCAAATACTGTATATCTTATTTCCTTATCAGAGGTTTTAAAGGGTTTATTCAAGCAACTTTGTATTTCACGTCCTTATACAGTTTGCAGGGGATTCACTTGTGAAATACAAAGACCGGATCCTACACTTCCCATAATGCAACTTGATAGTGTCTCCATTAGGCCCTTTCTGCCATGTAATCACAACCTACAGTTTGTAAGGCAGACTTTCTGCTGGAAACATGTAGTCTCCCAGCTGAGATAACCCCCAGGTTTATCATCTCACTTGACAAAACTCCTCCAGAGCCTTGGAAGCCTCGTGCTGCTCAACACGTCGAATGGACGGATCTTACTATGGAGTCTCCCCTTTACACTCTGTAATGTCATTACCTGCCAGGTTCTACTCAGATCCTAGCTCAGAAGCAGCCTCCACACTCTGATGCCACTCTGACACACGTCATCACTTCCTTCCACTAATTCCACAAACCACAGCATTAACATGAAGTGCTCGAGGTGAAGTGTGAAATGGTTCTTCAGCAGCCAAACCCGGGAAAGTCATCAGAACTCCAGTCACACACTTGAGATTTTCAAGTGGAAGTAAATAACACTTCTCATTTCCTAAATCTGATTTTCCACTTTCCAAACAGGTTAAGTGTGGAGTCATTCATAGCAGCCAGAGCCAGGCGCTACTACTGGGGACTGGGTGCTCGTTCCTCGCAGAGCAGGGCTTTGGCCCATTCTCTAATAAGATGCAACATGTCCTACAGATTCTCTGGGAGTGTGTCAGTAACACTGTGAGTACAATGCAGAAAAGAAGACTCAATCAACCCCATGATGCATGTCATCTACCAAATGGCAAACTATAACCAAAGCAGTATTTCCTGCAGGAGGGATGTAAGAGTGAAAGGAAGTAGCAGCAAAAAATTGTTAAAGTAGTAACAGCTGTTAAAACAAGACCTGGGGGATTAACACTTAGCGTTTTTCCACCAAGGGAACTTAAGGAGCTGTGACCCTTAACCCGGCAGAAGCTGTGGTTCCTTCAGCTTTGCTTTTCCACTGTGGGTCTCTGTTTACATGGGGGCGGGGCTGAGCAGAGAGCATCAAGTCAAGACATGAGCAGTGTAATAAACAGCTGCTGAACAAGCAGAACAAACCTACAGGCACTTGACGTCAACTCACCACTGTAACCCTGAAACAGGCCGTGCTAATGCTAATAATGAGACGTGATGACACTGACATTTAACAAATTAGGGATTGATGACACTGACATTTAACAAATTAGGGGTGACAACCCTGTGAGCCCCCACCCCCGAGTTCCTCATACACTAGCTTTTCAAAGCGAGGCAGGTGCGCCTTTATTCCATCTCATTTTCTGTGTCTAAGGCATAAAGCTGGAATAACGGGCTATTTTCGTTCCGCCTTGGGAGGTAGAACCAGAGGTGAAACAAAGAGGCGACGCGCTCTGTGTAGAAAGGGTAAGAGAGCAGTCTGCGACCAAGTGCTACACTTTGATGATGTAATAACTGCGCGACACCATCACTGGCGTCTCAAGCCTGCAGGCCTCTCTGCCTCGAGCTGTTCTCAGCTTCTCTCTAACTTACAGGTCAAAGCATTCCTGAGTAATAACTGTAATCAGTGCGTTCGTGACATTCACAGACATACCAAGAACCACACTAAACAATTTTGCACGAAGTGAAATAAATGGTTGAAAAGCCAACTAACCTACGTCAGCACTCATCTCTCCTGCTCTTATGTCAACAATGGATGACGTCTGTCTAGTATAAAAGGGGTCATTCATAGTGAGACCTCCAGAAGCTTCTCACACAACCCTAGCGAACCCCTGCAGCACCACACAGCAGGTAGACACAGAGCCCTCATTTACATCGTTCACATACACTGACATTAACCCCTATTTAGCGCCACTCAAAAGAGAACCAAGCCCCCATTTTTTATTTGTTTGAACTTTGATAAAGAAGCGGCTGCCAGCTTCCCTCCCTCAACCCCACACATTTCAGTGCTGGTTGATTTGGCGACACCTGTGGTTTCTGCTGGGAACTGAACATGTTTGTTGATTACAGGACCCAAAGTCCCTCTAAGAGTAATCATCTATCAAACATGTACCAGTGTCAACACAGCTGCTCGTCAGACAACAGCCCACATCCACTCACAGTGGAGCTGAATTAACAGAGGCCTGACAGAAACACAGGCTCGAAATGAAACGATCTGATGCCACTGACAGTTTCCTCTGTTCTCCCCGAGGCAGGCCAAATGTAGCTCTGCAATCTTTTAAATGAAACGCTAGGCCCAGAACTGGGAGTGAGTTTCATTAACAGCAGCTTAACGTCACAAAGTGCAGCCATTTGAAGCGACTGACTCAGGGAGTGAGGAGGATTTCTGCTCCGTGAAAAAGTCAGAGCTGCAGAGTGAGGATGAATTTACTGTCCAAACCATTAACGTACAGATAAGTCTCTTTGTGTTGCAGTTTTTACACTATATGCAGTATATTAAGGGTCCACATGTCCAGACACATTTATAATGCATCAGTCATGACCTTAAAATTTAATCTAAAAGCATGTTGATGTCATGTTACCAACTCAAGCTAATTTATGATTTACTTATATAGACACAAAAATAGTGAAATACAGGAACGACGAAATATTAGCATTTTCCAGTAAAAGCATGAGGCTGTGGTGGTGAGTCTGTGCGCGTGCTCTGGGGGTCTGTGCGTGGCTCACAGATTAAGAATGTAGCTCAGTTAGGCCACATCCAACACACAGGTCACATGGACCCGACTCACACACACCTTCCATCAAAAGCAGAACATCCTGTCTGTGTTTAACAGCTGATGCTGAACCTGCTCAGTCTGGGCTCCTCTGAAAACAAACGGGCTGAACCTTGATCTGCTACAGAGGCAGAAAGAGGTCTCCCTCACCCGTGGCTGTGGTTCTGCAGGTGTCACTTCCACTGCTGCTCCGAGTTGAGAATCACTCCATGTCCTAATCCAGGGGATTTGTAAACCATTCAAAAATCCATCCAGAGTCGGGGAGGACGCTCTGCGGGAGGAGGTGGCATCGTCCTCACTCCGGACTCCAGAGTGAGTGTGCCAGCTGTAAACACTGCTGCAAATGTGCCTTCATACGCTCATGCACACGCAGCCACACATGCAGAACAGACCGAGCTGGGAAAGCCGGGTGGTGGAGCACAGAGAAGGGCTCCGGTCGAAGAGGCTGAGTCCGTGCAGAGTTGAGCCTCAGGGCGGTGCACCCTGCCCGGGCTGGAGGAGTGTGGACGGAGCCGCTGTCAGGGCCTGTCCGTGGCTCCCTACAGTCGCGTCTCTACCTCCGAGCGATGAACACGCTGTTCACTCTCTGCTCAGCTTCTGAAAAATAAGGCAGGCTGCAGCAGCACCGCCCTCCGCACAGGATCAGCCAATAGCAGATCCCGCCCCGCCCCCCTCTCTCTCACTCTCTGCTCAGCTTCTGAAAAATAAGGCAGGCTGCAGCAGCACCGCCCTCCACACAGGATCAGCCAATAGCAGATCCCGCCCCGCCCCCTTCTCTCTCTCTCTCTCTCTCTCCCCCCTCTCTCATTGACACACCGACAGACTGGGCTTCACATCAGGAGCGACACACACACTCAGGCTCAGTGAGCTGGCGAAACGTCCACGTTGGACTGAAGTGCGTTATGAGATTTCAGAGTATTTTAAAAGGGGGCCGTGCACCTGTCCCCCTCACATCCCACACACCGTCCGCGATAAAACTAAACTTGTAAATGTAAAGAAGGTTGTCCATCAATCATCAGCCTCTCAACAGGTGTCAACAAATCCCAAATAGTCCCAGGTGGTGTCATATGTCTGCTCTGTTGCCCAGGAAGTGTTTAGAAGTGTGAGACCATTCACTGTATTCTGGGGTGAAGTGAGTTTTGTATTTTTGTGTTTTCAGAGGTTAAATGTAAATCCTGCCCACAAAGAAGAGCACAAAGAGAGACCAATCAGGACGTGGTCTCGCTTGTTAGTCACTCAGACTCAGCCTGCATGATGATTTTATTTTACCCACCTGTAAACAAAGGAGAGAAAACAGGCAGAAAGATGAAATTAAAGGCCAGCAGTTGTGAGGAAACGTCTGATGCTGCTCCTACAGCTGCAGTCTGAGAGCAGATGCATCACTTTAGCAGTCAAGTCTAGATAAATCTCCTGTTTATGAACCAACGGAAGCATTTTAACTCTGCTCTGAGATCTTTTCTTATTCCGTCTAAGACCAGCATGGGAGCGCTCTCAGTCCTGAGCCATCCCATTTGTATGATGTATAACTCCATGTATGACTCCAGTGAACAGTCAGGACTGCAGAAAGAACCATCAGTGCCAGCCTGTCCTCCACGGAGGACCTGTACACCTCACAGGTCAAAAGGAGGGTGGAGAGGATTTTTGCAGACCCCTCACACCCTGGACATAAACTGTTTGAACTCTTCCCCTCTGGACGGCGCTACAGGTCACTGTGCACCAAGACAACCAGGCACAAAAACAGTTCCTTCCCCCAGGGCTGTCACTGTGATGAACTCTGAACCAACGACAGTTTGACTGGACAATAACCCTCAGTGTAATACCTGTAAATATACATTGGACAGATTATACAGATCCGTACAGGTCTCTAGTTTTAAGTATTCTGGTTTTATTCCTATTTATCTCATTTCCTAATGAGCATTCCTTTGTCTGTCTGCATTGTTAACTGCCTGTTTATACTGTTTATTTTGCATTGTTTATTGCTTGTTTACACTGTTTATTTGTTATACTACACAGCCTTATGTTGTTTACTTGCCCCTTGCTGTTGCCTTGCATGGGGATATGTACATGCACATTGAGGTCAAAGGTCAAGGTCAAAGTGTTTGTTGTCATATGCACAGTTAGGAAACGTGTTTCCCTGTACAATGAAATTCTTACTTTGCCGTCCACATGAATGCCACAAAATAAAAATGAAATATAAAGTAGATAAATAAGTAACATAAAATCTAAGGCACTTTAAGCAGCAAATGCAGCAATATAATAAAAATATATAAGAATATAATAGAGAATATATGAGCTGATGTACCAGAGTCAAATTCCTCGTGTCCAGCACACCTGACCAATAAAGCTCATTCTGATTCTGATTCTGATGATGAATGCATCAGTGCATGAAAAGAAGGAGAAAGCTTTTGTACGATCACATTGGACATGTAGGACAAAGCAGAGTGTTGGATCCTGATTTTCTTAAGAGCTGAGAGAATAAATGACCAGGATCAGATCCTGAATGGCCTCAGAGCTACAACACAGCGACTAATGGAACCAAGGAGGTCACAGGATCAAGCCAGACGAACACCAGCTGTGTAATGACTAACTAACTAACTAACTTTGTGTTCGATCATATCCAAGGTCAGATGGTTAAAGCTGCACACACACACACACAAGGAGCAACAAAATCATGCTACACATCTTAAGTTGTGCTTAAGGACGGACACACTTACAGCTCACGATGGCATCCAGCTCTTATTCCTATTCAGCTTGAATGCACTTAGTGTTTGCTTTGGACACAAACATCTGCAAAATGACTGGGTAACAAAGAGAAACCGTTTCCATTAGATTAGAGTAGATCACAGTACTGTGTCAGTTGCCAAAGGGGAAACAAGCTTGGTTGCCCATGTGAAGGTTAAATAGACAATATATGAAAGACAAACTGCCACAACAGCAGTAACATAAACTAACACATATTCTAAGAGGACATCAGTGCAGCTCAGGAGCCTTATGAGCCAGTAAGTGTATTATAAACAATCAATAAAGGCTGACCAACACCGCCACCTCTGCCAAAATGTTTTGGCGACAGATGTCACTGACTGGTTTTCATTGTCCTCACTGGAACAGGTACACACCACGCTGCCGATCGCTTTCATACAAGTGGAATAAGAAAGCGAGAGGGCTGACCTCACAAAGTGACTAATCAAAGCACCTGGTGGCTTTTCAGAGGTGCACGTGAACATGGCTGAGGGACCCAAATGAGCATGTTGTCCAGCAACTGTTTCAGAGGAAACAACTCTCTAGTAGTCAGTAGTGTGCATCATAGATCCTGATACACACAGTCAGCAGCGTGGGCAAAAGGGTGGACCACTTCCCACTGCTGTCACTCAAAACGCACTCACTGACCACATGATTCACATTTGATGAGTCGTTTTCTTACTCAAACTCGACCACCACCAAAACTCTGTATTTACAGTCCAACTTGCATGTTTACATGCTGTTTTGAAAAACAACTATACAACCCCAACAACACAGCAGCACGTTATTTGATGTGACACCTCATCAGTTTTATTCTGTCTTAAAATAAACACTCACTTCAGTCTTGATGATGCAGCTTCTTCTGATTTGGGTTGTACCAAACAAGAAAAACTGCTCAACGACTGCGAGCCAGGCGAGGCTGATATTGCACTGGCAGAAAAATAAAGCCCTTAGTCTGCAGTTTGGTCCATTCTACCACATCCATCCACTGACCAGCTGTGGAGGAGCATGAGGGTCATTTGCCACACTTGCATGTTAATCACTGAAGCGTCCAATCACCAAATGATTTCTGATAAAGGGGCACGTCGGTTCATAAGAAAACCTCTGGAAAAGATGGCCTGGAGTGTCTCCAGTCACGGCTCCTCCAGCAGCCTCCTCACTGCACAGAGATGATATAAGAGACTGGGAAGGTCCCAGACCCTCGTTCAACCGGAATGACTTCCAGGTCAAGCAAGGACTGAGGACCAATCATATAAAGGACATGAGAAACAGCCGTGGACAAGTCACCAGTCTGTCACACAGAGACAAACAGCCGCTCACACTGGGGTTAGAGCACCAGTCGACCTAACCGGAGGAAACCCGCACAGGTAGGAAGAGAACATGCAGACTCCACACAGAAAGGGCCCAGTCAGGCACCAGGTTCAAACCCAGAACCTTCTCACTGTGAGGCGACAGTGCTAACCACTGTAACATCCTCTACTACATATACATCTAAAAAATACAAATAAAATGATTACATAACTGGGCCTTACAGCACTGGGCGCCTCTTTTCATGCCTGGACTACTTGTATGACAAATGTGCGGCAGGTGTGGAAAGGAGGCAGGCCACAGGGCGAGGGGTGGATTAGAAGGTGGATGAGGACAGACTCACTGCTGTGAATCTGCCTCTGCACAGTGAACATGAAGGCGTTTGTCTGTGTGACTGAAGCACTGTGCAGTGTCTGATTCAGCTCTGCAGCAGAATCCAGGCAGCAAAGAGCCGTCATTCTTTTTGCTCGGGTGGAAATCTGGTTAATGCAAAATAAATAAATCAAAGGCACTTCAAAGCCAGTAGTGACCCATACTGAGTTCAACACGGCGAAACAGGAAACAGCTGAAGAATCTCCCAATTTCAGGGCAGTAAACTGACATGATTTAACTTGTTTTCATGTTGATGCTTTGAGCTCATCCACGGAAGAATTTTAACTTCTATTAAATCACTCTGAGTTAAACTCAGATACCTGTGCTGCACCCAGGAGGAATTCACAAATGAGCTTGGATCCAATTTTTAATATTTACCATTTATTGTCTAAGTTATTTCCCCTGTGGCAGCTTGCTGTTCTGCTAACAGTCACAAAACCCCCACTTCTCACTATGACCCTGCAAGACTCAAGTGTGTATACATAATGAAGTGTCTGAAATAAGCACCGGTTTTGATCATGGCTCTGCACAGAGAAGACTCCTCAGAGACACACATAAAAAGACATAATGGCCTCCGTCATGTTTTTAAAGTCAGGATGTTGCAGAACTTTACCCTTAGTCCAATACATGCTGGAAGCAAACAGTCTATTGGATCTGTTAGTCACCTGAGCTCATGATACAAGACTGACAGTTAATATGAACATGAAAGGTACGAACCTGTAAATACACCGAGCTTTTATGCTGCAAAGCACCAAGTAAACAACTAAACAACACAAGTTTTCACTTCCTACTGAATCACGAGATTTTTAGTGATGAAGAATGAATGAAGATGCTACTGTGGCCTGATTTAGGTCTGCATGCTCTAACAGTCTGTGCCTGTTATTTATGCCAAAGAATACAAGCTGGTCCTTTCACAGTAAACAGCTGCAGATAAGGCTGACTAGAGCTGCGAGCACAGGTGACAGCACTGCCTCTGAATCCATCTACTGAAAAACAAAGGTTCAAAAAAGCTTCAAGAGCTGATGAAAGAGAGAGAGAGAGAGTTTACAGATGAGATGCAGGGAGGAGAAGGAGGTGAAGCAGCACAAGAAGCAAAAAAAAAAAAACATCTGCAAATCATAAATAATTCAGAGACAAGTTGTTTTTATAAGAGCATGAAAAAAATCAGATGAGGACAGCGTTCGCTGA